CTCCAAGCCAAACAAGCCCAGTTCCCTCAGCCTTTCCTCATAGGAGAAGCAGGGACAGGGAGGACTTGAGGAGACACTCACTTTGCAGTTAAGATTTTATGATCCACGTCATCTAGAGACGAGCTGTGAGCAACATGAAATGTTCCAAACAGAGTGTTGCGCTTCTTCTTAATTTTTTCAGCCTGGAATGTTAACAGAAAGAAGGAAAGGTCAGAGGAAGACGAGGACCTTGTGTTTCCTCCTGGACAAGAACATCCTGGAGGGGCTGTGACAGAAATAGCCCTGCAGCTGCTGGCACACGTGTGAATGGTGTGAAATGTGTTTCAGGACAGGAGGGTAACCCCCAGCCCATGGGCTGAGCAGGGAGATGCTGCTCTGCACCCCCAGCCCTGCGGCAGCCCAGAAGTCAGAGGGACCCAAACCAACTGCTCCATGCAGAGAAGGGCTCTCCCAGAGCCTGCCCTGGCCTTTCTAAGGCTAGAACTATCACATGTCACGTCCATCATAACAGTGCAGTAGGGCAGAGGGACTCCTGTGAGCTGTCAGCTCTTCTGCACCCATCCACAGAGCTGAATGCATGTTACAGCAGCTCCCCTGCAGCTCTCAGCTCCTCGGCTGGCACAGAAAGCTTGGAACGACTGGGAATACAGAGAGGGTGATTCATTGCTACAGTGCATGTGCTCATAAGAAAAGGTGCTGCCTGAGCACGTAGGACAGCCAGAACAGGGGCTGTGCACATGGTGTGAGGGCACAGAACACACCGTGCAGCTTCCATTCCCAAACCTTCCCCCGGGCAGCGATGGGCAGATCTCAGAGCAGCATGCTGAGATGCTCACCCCTTCCTTGGCCACCAGGAGCTGCTTTTCCGCGTTCTGCTTCTTGATGTTGTAATACTGCACCTCCACCTCGTGGGTCAGCTGCAGCCACTTCTGCAGGGCCTCGGGGGCAGCCCAGCTGCAGTGTGATTCCAGCTCCTTCTCGGCGTTCTTCAGAGCCATTCGGACCTGAGGAGAGGCAGCAGTGCTGTGTTATGGGAAAGGGAATGGCTGCTGTGCTGCACCAATGGAATGGGGGCAACGGGGGGGCAAACAGGAGCCAGGGCTGGTCCAACATTTGGCTCACACCGACCCCACGCAGTGCCCAAGGAGGCTGTGGATGCCCCAGCCCTGCAGGCATTCAAGGCCAGGCTGGATGTGGCTCTGGGCAGCCTGGGCTGCTGGTTGGTGCACACAGCAGGGCTTGGAGCTGGATGAGCGCTGTGCTCCTGTGCAACCCAGGCCGTGCTGTGATATCTGCTGCCTGTTGCCTGCTGCATGCTGCCTACCATGTGCTGTGTGCATCACATCCATCACAGGGAACGAACCCAAACAGGGTTTATATGGTGTATGCTCCCCTGTGATGACCTCCAAGGTCCCATCCCGACCATGAAGTGGCACTTCATAAAGCAATGAGTGCCTTCTGACCCTGTGCTGCGTGGTCACCCCTTGGGCACAGCAGGACCCATTGAGGACTGATTTGCTGCAAGCAGCCCAGCCCCAAACACTGAGCTCTCAGCACCACTTGCTGCGCTCCAGCACGAGCTCCCAACCCCACAGAACCATTTTAGTCATAAGAACCAACGGGTGCAAAAGAAACTCTGGGTTTAATATCCACGGCATCAAACAACCAGACGAGTTCTACGGTCAGTGGGGTGATGGGTTACTGTGTGTGGGGGACACTGGGATGGTGGCTGTGTTACAGGCACACGGTGGGGGCAGGAGGACGATGCCAGTACTCACCCTTTGGAGGCATCCCTCATGAAGGCCTCTGAGAAACAACAGAGAGGGGAAGTCACCTCTAGCTGGCAGCTTTCCCGAGGGCAGGAGTGGTGGAACGGATGAGTGCCCTCGAGTTGGCAGCAGGTGGGACAGGAAGGCTTGGAGAGCTGTGCACCCCATAGAACGGCCCCAGTGCTGCTGTGCAGCTGGGCACTGAAGCTCAGTGCGTTCGTGGAGAGGTTGTGTGACAAATTGGGATCCTGGATGGGGCCTGAGGGCATCAGAACTGCTCTCACTCCAACCAAGAGGAGGAAGGAATCTTGCCGCACGGCTCCCTGCTGGCCGAGCGCTGACCTCTCCCCACCCAGTGCAATGCCTGGGCTCTGCTTTCCTCTCCTTCCTCCTTCCAGGTGGAGTGGATGGGGGCCGGGTTGGGGCACACAAACACCTCATGGCACTGTGGGGCACACGGTGCTGCCTCACATTATTTCTGTTGGAAGTGATCTGTGATCACATCAGGTCACAGCACAGCTTTCCCTCGGGTGAAACGGAGGGGCAGCTGCATTTGTGCTTTGGGCTGTAAAGCTTTGCAGGTTTGGGCACCAGGTGGTTCTGAGGCACAGCTCCCACGCCTCCCTTCGCTCCCTGCTGCTGAGCCACCATTAGCAATGCTGTTTATTTCCATCTCTTCCCTCCAGCCCTTGTTGGGGCTCCCTGGGCTTTTAGATGTTGCATTGGAAGCCCTTTCCCTGACCTGTGATGCATCACTCAAACAGTGCCACACAAATGCATCGCTCGCACATCACTGCTGCCAGCATCACACACAAAACTCTCCCCAGGTCTGCATTTCCAGATTCATTTGGAAGGAAGTTCTCTTTGGACACCTCTGGAGCCAACGGCAGAACAGCTGCCCCACATCTCTCCTAAACCCACAGATGGAAAAGAGAGAGAAATCTGAAGGCTGGTGCTTTGGAAGGGGATGGTGGGGTGCAGCTGCAGGCCAGGCAGCATTCCTGCCCTATGGGGCAGCTCCACAGCCACCACCTCTCCCCCAGTCACTGCAGGGATGTGATGGAAGGGCCAGGTGACATCAGGTGGCTCTGAGCACTGATGCAGCTGTGCTCATTGCAGGCAGTGGCACCAGGTCTACTATTGGTCTGGCATTAAGTGGGGAGGTTGGTGGCGCTGCATACGGTGGGGGGGGTTGGAGCTTCATGATCCTTCCAACCCTGGCCATTCAGTGATTCTGGGGGCCCCCAGGAATCCCCTCCAGCTCAAAGCATTCTGTGATTCTCTGATTTTTTCCTCCACGAGGTAGGAAAAAGCAAAGGCAAAAAGGTGTTAGGAGCAGCACGGCACCGGGCTCGACGGCAGGCAGGCTCAGTGCTGGCTGCATGCTGCTCCTATGGCATGCCACGTGTGAGTGTTTGTGCAACCACGGGCCACCCCTCACCTGCTCCAGCTCCTGCTCTGCATACTTCTGCCTGCTCAGCTCATTCTCAGTGCCCTCCCGCAGCTCTCGCAGCCGATGCGCCTCCTGCTTGGCGATGCTGATCTCGTCCTGCAGCTTCTTCTCCAGGTGCACCTTCTCCACCTCCACGGAGCGATGCTCTTCCTGGGCCTTCTGCAGCCTGCAGGACAGGGAGATGGGAGCCGTGAGGAGCAGGGGGCGCCGTGCACAGGAGCCCTTGGTGGCCACGCCATCGGCCCCTTCCTGTTCACACTGCGCCAGCGGCCACCACAGCTGGAAGGCTGAGAAAGCTCACCGTGCTGAAAGGAAATGGTCACAGATGGAGCCACCTTAGCTGCGGCTGCTCCTGCCCTCCACACCCCAATGGGCACAGACAAAAGGGAAAAACGATCCTCAGCCACAAACCTGGCTCTGTGCAGCACGCAGGGGCTGTTCTGCAGCCCCGCAGCAAACGCTGAGCTTGTAGCGTGCTCAGCCCAGGGATGTGTGCAGCACGAGCAGAGCAGGGAGAATGGGGGCACTGAGCACACAGCAGAGCACCCAGCAAGGATGCACTGAGCCTAAGAGCAGGGCACAGAGCAAGGATGCAGAGAGCAATTAAGGTCTCTGCATGAGCAGAGCACAGAGCAAGCACTGAGTACAGAGTGGAGCACAACGCAAGGACGCACAGAAGCTGTGAACGGAGCACAGGGCAAGGATGCACTGAACACAGAGCAGAGCACAGAGCAAAGATGTGCAGAGCAGAGCAGAGCACAAAACAGGGATGCAGAGAGCAGAGCACAGAGCAAGGATGAGCAGAGCAGAGCACAAAACAGGGATGCACAGAGCAGAGCACAGAGCAAAGATGCACTGAGCCCATGAGCGGAACACAAAACAGGGATGCACAGCAGAGCACAAAACAAAGATGCACAGAAGCAAGAGCACAGAGTAAGGATGCACTGAGCACAGAGCAGAGCACAAAACAAGGATGCACTGAGTCCATAAGCAGGGCACAGAGCAAGGATGCAGACCCAAGAACCCTTGCTCTGCAGGCTCATCCTTGGCACCCGGACAGCAATCGACAACAAATCTGGCCTCTCAGCAGCCATGATGTTGGCTCTCTTCTTGGAAAAGGTTTATTTTCAATTTACAGCTCTGTTGAGAAACTCCAGTGTTTTTCTTCCCAATTAACAGAGGTTTCTGCCAAGGCGTTCCAAGCTTTCAGATAAACCCACGCTCTCTGCCCTGAGCTCATTGCTGAAGCTCTCCCACAGTAGGGCCGTAAGAATTCCAAACCACCCAAATATCTCTATTTAAAGGAGAATTTTCCCCATGCTATGATGCAGAATTCCTTTCATAGGAGATTTATCCTCAAGGCAATTTCCAAGCGTGCACTACCATTGCATTTTCCCTTCCCACTGGCTTTTGCTCACAGCAGAGCTGTGCTTTCTGATGCTGGCAGTGGACAAAGCCACCCTCTGAGCCCTTTGCATGCAGTGAGCTCCAGGATGGAGGGCAGCACTGCGTTGTGCCATGGGCACAGATGGACCTACAGCTCAGCAGCACATCAGCAGAGGGATGTGCTCTGATGTGAACTTATCTGCACAATGGGCCACTCGGGGGACTGGGAAGCATCAGTGCTCATGGATGCTCCCAAAAGATGAGCCACAAATGGCTCTCAGTGTCTGTGTTCCCCTCCCCAATCTCCAGGAACACAGCAGAGACAGGAATAGCAGCAGCAGCAGCAGATGGGGCCGTCCTGCAGATGTGCTCAGCACTGAACTTCCATCAGTGGGAACAGCCTGGTTTGAGGTCCAAAAAGGAGCTCCTAGCAAGCAAACTGCTGAACAGAACTGCCTCACTGGTGCCCAGGCCCATGGGGACCAAACCTGAGAGCTGGGATGGGAGGAACCTGAGAGCATCCAACGTGGCCAAGTGTAGGATCCTACAGCTGGGGAGGAACAGCCACAGCAGCAGTACAGTCGGGGCTGAGCTGCTGCACAGGGGCTCTGCAGAGAAGGACCTGGGAGTCCTGGTGACCAGAAGGTGGCCGTGAGCCAGCAGTGTGCCCAAAAAGGCCGATGGGACCTGGGGTGCATTGCATGGAGTGTGGCCAGCAGGGCGAGGGAGGTTCTTCCAACCCCTCCAACCCCTGCACCTCTGCGATTCTGTGCTTAGGTTGGGGCCTCCTCACCTGGTTCTGAGCTCAGGTTCAGCTCCCCAGGCCCAGCTGCTCCTTCCCAGGTGCCCCCCCCAGCACAGCCCTGCCCATCCCCTGTCTTGCATGATGCCATGGATGAGCACCGCTGCGAGCGGCGGCTGCAGGAGCTGCACACCCAGAGGTTCCCTGGTTCTCCAGGTTATGTCCTGGCTGTGATGGAGAACTCCACAAAGCCGTGTGAAATGAGCTGTGGATTACAGCCTGCTCCCTTGGCAGGCAGACAGGAAAACCCTTCAAGTCCAAAAGAAAGCAGGTCACACATCTGCAGTGCTGACGTGGATGTGCTGCGCTGGGCACCGCCAGCCTGGTGCACCTCTAAGTGCCCTCTCATCATGCAGATACCAACTGATGTGATCACAGAAAGGCTTTTCAACACCTCCCATGCATGGATGGCTCCCAAGGGGCTGCCAGGCAGGGCAGCAGCCTTCCCAGATGACAACAAGCAAACTGGGTTACTTCCCATCCTTTAAGAGGCTCTTTTATCCAGAGAGGTACAGATCTGCGTTACAGTTCTGTGTGTTTGGGGGAAGTCATGCAGTAATAGAATGGCCTGGGTTGAAAAGGACCACAATGATCATCAAGTTTCAACCCCCTGCTATATCCTGGGTCGCACAGACCAGGCAGCTCAGGGTACCCACACTGCACTGAGGGGGAGAGCTGCAAAGAGAATGAGGTGGGAGACCCCAATGAGGAACAACCAGCAGCAAAGCCAGCAGCCGATGGGGGTCACGCAGCTCTTACCTCTCCTGCAGGTCGTGGAGGGACTGCTCAGCCCTGTGGAGGCCCTCCAGGTCCTTCATCATCTTCTTCATGTGCTCCTTGGAGTAACGGTTCTGGATGTAGGCAAACCAGCAGCCGCCCACCCCGATGACGATGGACACCACCAGCATGAAGTCCTTCAGGTGGTTGTGGCGTGTCACTGCCAGAGAAGGAAAGGCTGCTGAGGGCACGGAGTGGGGAGGTGGTTTGTTTGCCTTGGGGGGTGCTTTGAGCTGGGACATTTAACATAATGCCACCACCCCCCCTATAGCAGGTGGGCTTTGGAGCTGGAGCTCAGGAGCGGTGCTGTGCAGGGAGAGCAGCTCTCCTCCCTCGGTCAGCACTGCAGAGGGGCAGCAGCACAGCCACCATCTGCTCCCAGATTTCATAGGATGACAGCATGGCCTGGGCTGCAAAGGAGCACAGTGCTCATCCAGCCCCAAGCCCTGCTGTGTGCAGGTCACCAACCAGCAGCCCAGGCTGCCCAGAGCCACATCCAGCCTGGCCTCCAATGCCTGCAGGGATGGGGCATCCACAGCCTCCTTGGGCAACCTGTGCCACTGCCTCACCACCCTCTGCCTCCAAAACTTCCTCCTCACATCCAACCCAAACCTCCCCTGTCTCACTTTCAAGCCATTCCCCTTGTCCTGTCACCACCCACCCTCACACACAGCCGTTCCCCCTCCTGTTCATCCGCTCCCTTCAAGCACTGAAGGCCACCATCAGGTCTCCCTGCAGCCTTCTCTTCTCCAAGCCAAACAAGCCCAGTTCCCTCAACCTTTCCTCATGGGAGAGCTGCTCCAGCCCTCTGCTCATCGATTTTCCCTGCACCCCTCTGCTCCTGTGCACACATCTGCATTGGGACAGCACAGCGCAGAGCAGTGCAGAACTGGCCCAGCTCTGAGTCAGATCTCCGTTTATTTCTGTGTCTGCTCCATGTGTGCTTATTTTAATGTGGACCAAAGAGCCCTTCAGGGCCTCGAGTTCATCTCTGCTTCCTTAAAACACAAGCTTTTTTGGGAGGGGAAAAAAAACACCAAAAACAAACAAGCCATAAAACATCCTCCCTCATAATGACTGAGCAAGCATAGGGCTTTCACTTCCCCTCCCTTCCATTTGTGAGCACTTAAGGCTTTCAGAGCACACAGCATCAGCTTGGCACAGCATGAGGGAGTGCTGGTGTGCATCCCTGTCTTGGGACAGAAGGGCACACGAAGGCAGAGCTGTGCCTTCAGTGGGAGGATGGCTGCCACAGCAGCCTGCTCCCAGCATGGAATGGATCTGTTCCTCCATCTCCAGCGCACGCCCTGCTGCTCTCTGCTGTGCTGGGAGGAACCCATGGGTGTAAAGGACACGAGAGTTCATCCTCTCCCCTCCTAAGAGCAGCTGCTGAGCAGTCAGCAGCAGCACCTTCAGTCCTAAAGAAATGCCTCATCATTTGGAGCTGGGAAGCACCAACAGTATTTATAGCCCCCCGAAATCCCAGGGGAAGGAGGAACAATCCCTCCTCCGAAGAGCAGCACAGCTGCACGGGGACGGGGGGGGTCACCAACCAGAGCTGTGGGGATGTGGGGTGGCTTGGGGACCCTGGAGGGCTTCTCCAGCTTTTCACAGAATCACAGAATCACAGAATCACCCGGGTTGGAAGGGACCTCAAGGATCATGTAGTTCCAACCCCCCTGCCCAGCAGGGCCACCAAACATCCACATTCAGATCAGGTTGCCCAGGACCCCGTCCAACCTGGCCTTAAACACATCCAAGGACGGGGCATCCACAACCTCCCTGGGCAGCCCGTTCCAGGGCCTAACCACTCTCCTTGTAAAGAACTTCCCCCTAACATCCAACCTCAATCTTCCCTCCTTCAACTTCGATCCATTTCCCCTAGTCCTGCTGTTGTCAGCCCTTTTGAAGAGTTTACTCCCCTCCTGGGTGTAGGTTCCCTTCAGGTATTGATAGGCTGCAATGAGGTCACCCCGCAGCTTCTCTTCTCCAGGCTGAACAAGCCCAACTCCCTCAGCCTGTCCTCATAGGGGAGCTGCTCCAGCCCCCTGCTCATCTCAGTCGCCCTCCTCTGGACCCTTTCCAACATCTCAATGTCTTTCTTGTACTGAGGGCTCCACACCTGGACACAGCACTCCAGATGGGGCCTCACAAGAGCCGAGTAGAGAGGGACAATCACCTCCCTGTCCCTGCTGACCACCCCTCTCCTGATGGAGCCCAGGATCCCATTTGCCTTTCGAGCTGCCAGAGCGCACAGCTTTTGAGGTTCTGTGATTCCATGCTTGTATGAAATCCCTCTATGCCCCCCGTGAGGGGCAGCACCAGCACACACGGCACCCACTGACACCAACATCACTGCCAGGAAGCCCCCCTTCAGCTCGAGGCTCAGTGCAGCCCCAGCAGCAGTGACAGCCCCAGGTCTGTCACCACACACAGCTCTGCGCTCTGATAAATCCCTGCCATCTCTACAGAGCTGAAGCAGAAAAGCCCTAAGATGAGAATCCAGCCTAATTCCTGGTCCGTGCTGCTTGAAATGAGGCCATGAAGGTAGCTTCAAAACGCAGATGGAAAAGCAGATGTGTAATAGCAACAAGCACAGTAAATCTGCTGTTAGGACAGCAAGCCTTGTGTTTGACCTTGGCTCTCCGATGCATTTCTCTTCTAAGCCAACAACAACTGCCATGTGCTGTAAGTGGGAAAAGATGAGGCTGTTAAAGGCTGGCGTCCCCCCAGCAGCACATGACACACACAGCCCTGCTCCCATCCCATCCCTGCATCCCAATTACAGGGACTTCATTACCAGTGACATCCTCTGCCCTCGCTGCACTGTGTCCAAGTGCTGCAGCCTGACCCTGCGTGCTGTCATTGCCTCTCCCACGGCCCTGCCTGCTCCTGCTTCCATCCCTGCCTGCTTCTGGTCCTGCTCCCATCCCTGCCTGCTCCCAGCCCTGCTCCCTGCAGCCATCCCTCCCGTGCATTTGGTGCACACTGCAGCTATGACAACAATGGAAAAACACAGCAAAGCAGCAGGATTCCTCAGTGCTGCAGGCAGACACACGGCATCCCATCTGCCAGGTGCTGCAGCTCCTGGGATGTGTGGGTACCCCAATGGGCTCCCCTGTGTGAGCTGTGTCCTTCTTGCTGGGCTGTGTTACCACCAGAAAGCAAGCAGCCTCGTTCCCAACCTGAGTCATAGAATCACAGAATGGTTTGGGTTGAAGGGAGCTCAAGGATCACAAAGCTCCAACCCCCCACCAATGCAGGGCCACCAACCTCCCCATCTCACAGCAGCCCAGGCTGCCCAGGGCCCCATCCAACCTGGCCTTGAACACCTGCAGGGACGGACGGGGCATCACAGCCTCTCTGGGCAGCTGTTCCAGCAGCTCCAGGCACCTTTGCCTGTGATACACCGCACTCCCAACTCCGCTTGCCCCACTAGAAGATAAGGAACCATCACCTCTCATCCATCAGAAGCACATTAACAGAGGCTCAGCAGAAACTGGCTCAATAAAAAGCACCGCTTAGCAACGTTGACACGGCTTACAAAGATGTGCATCATCTCCTTTAGGGTAACGATGCTGTTTTGTTTGTTTTCAATAAGAGTGACCTTTACCTCCGGGATTGGATTGTTAATATATGGCTGAGAAACAACCAGTGCCAGCTGTCACTGTCAGCACTCTGCCCTGCCAGCAATGGGCTGCACGCTGCCAGCACACACACGGTGCATCCATCCCCATGGGCGCACGGGAGGAGGGAAATCACAGCCCTGCTGTTCTACTCTACCCAAGCTGGGGGGACAGCAGTGCATCCCACACCTCCCCCTGCCCTGCAGCAGCAGCACGAGGCTGTGGCCCAAAGCATCCCGTGCCCAGCACCCGGCGCAGCACCACGGAGCAGCTCCACCTCCTTCTGAAAACACTCCCTTTACAAATTCAACACTAACAAAAGAACCAAGATCTTGGCCTTGGCCCCACTTCCCGTTCCGGATGGATTATCACAACATCCTCTTCCCAAGGAGCAGCTCCTTGGCACTCTGCTGCACATCCATCATTTCCAGTCCCTCTGATCCATGTTTGCAGGTCTGTGTCCAGCACCAGCAGCACCCTGCAAACAGGTCCTGCACTGCCAGCACGAGGGATGGGCAGACAGGCAGAGGTGCAAGCACAGCCTCATTGCTTCCTTAAGGATCAAACCTTCCCTGCTGGGAAGAACAGAGGATCACAGCTGCTCCACGGGTCGGAGCTGAGCAACACGCAGCAGTGGGTGCTGTGCAGTGCCACACCGAGCCCAGGCAGCACTGCAGCTGTTACATCTCACACTAAACTGCAGCCACTGTCACCAACTGCAATGCCTTTCCCACAAAAGGAGCTCTCTGTGCTATTAAACGAGCAGTGCAGTTAATTTGCCATTGTTGGAGAGAATGGATTTTGTCCGTCCCCCTGCAGCACCCGCTGCGCAGTGCGGAGCGTCACCCCCTGCTGCCATCCAGCCCAAAGCAAGCAGCCCACCCACGCTCCCAGATTGCCAACAGAACTGTGGAAAAATGAGCGCGGCGTCAAAAAGACTTCAGCTGCATTTCAGTGCAAACCAGCAGGGGCTCTGGGGGGTCCGAGAACAACATGTGAAGTGCTGGGAAAGGACCTCCAGAGCCCCGCAGCACAAACCCAGGAGCAGCTCCCTACAGCGGCTGCAGCACAGCCCTGCAGCACAGCCCTGTGGCACAGCTGCATTAACAAGGCCAGATGCAGTTTCAGACATGGGAAGAGAAGCTCAGGGCACAGCTGTGGGATGGGTACAGCTGTGGGATGGCACAGCTATGGGATGGGTACAGCTCTGGGATGGCACAGCTATGGGATGGCACAGCTCTGGGATGGGTACAGCTGTGGGATGGCACAGCCATGGGATGGGTACAGCTATGGGATGGCACAGCTGTGGGATGGCACAGCTCTGGGATGGCACAGCTATGGGATGGGTACAGCTATGGGATGGCACAGCCATGGAATGGGTACAGCTATGGGATGGCACAGCTATGGGATGGCACAGCTATGGGATGGCACAGCTGTGGGATGGCACAGCTCTGGGATGGCACAGCTATGGGATGGCACAGCTGTGGGTTGGCACAGCTATGGGATGGCACAGCTCTGGGATGGGCACAGGTAAGTCATTCAGTTTGGTCCCACATCCCCAAAATTGTCTTCTAGGAACCTTGGAGAAAGCCATGAAGGACTGATGCGGGGGTGCAGCCATGCACTGCTCAGTTCTGCACTGCTCTGTGCTGCTGTGTGCACAATTGCAGCTCACGGTGCGTGCCAGGACGGCTGCCCAGCAGCTCCTCAAACACAGAGAATAAGCATTAATCCAAAGCCATTAAAAGCAATTTACTTTGCCATTACAGCGCCTGTGTGGCTGCCAACCAAATTCCTCCTTGGTGCTGGGCATGCCAGCAGGAACTGGGGCAGCTTTAACCACAGGGTCCTGATGGAGCCAGGCCTCAGATACCTCCCCAAAACATCAGTCTTAATGAGAACAACGTGCATAAGCAGGAAGGACTCATAATAACAAGACTGAAGCTGTGAGCCAGGTGCAGTGCATGCAAAGGAGCGCCCCGAGCTGCAGAGATAATCAGAGGGCCTCCAGATCATCAGGAGATGCTCACAGGCAGCTCCAGAACCGGCCCTCCTTCAGCTCGGTGCCATCCCAGCACTCCTCTCCCTCCAGCTGTGCTCACAGCTCAGTGCAAACCCAGTCCTCCAGGACAGGGCTGGAGCCCTGAGCCGACCTGCTGCAGGTTCTGCCTCACTGCAATTACCCAGCAGACTTCATTCAGCATAAAGCCTGGGCCACGTAGCTGGATCTTTGCTGTCTGCCGCTGAGCAGATGCAGCTCCTTGCACTTAAGGAGCTGTGCAGTGTTACTTACAGAGAGGAGGACCAAAGAGCACAGTGTCCAAAGCCTTCAGCTGCAGCTTCTGCCTATGGCTGCGGTCTGTCATCTTCAGGACAGTCCCCATCATGGTGGCATTGTTCACTGCTAATCTGTGAAACGCAAGGAGGAGGCACAGTCATATCCATCCCAATTCGTAAGGGAACAGAAGTGAATAATATGGGAGCTACGGACAGAGAAATGGGGTGAGCAGGAGCAGAGAGCTGCCAGGGCTAAAGGAAGCCCTCAAATCGTGCTGTTTCTGGTGCAGATTTCATAGAATGGCCTGAGCTGCAAAGGAGCACAGCGCTCATCCAGCTCCAAGCCCTGCTGTGTGCAGGTCGCCAACCAGCAGCCCAGGCTGCCCAGAGCCACATCCAGCCTGGCCTCCAATGCCTGCAGGGATGGGGCATCCACAGCCTCCTTGGGCAACCTGTGCCAGATCTGTATCAAACGCAGCATCCCTGCCTTCAGCACCAGAGAAAAGTGAAGGCTTTCCATTCCTCCTGACTGCTCTCACTGCTTCGTAGGCAAACCGAGCTTGTCAGTGCCCTGCTAACCGTGCAGGATAGATGCAGTGGATGCATCTATCAAGCAAATCTACACTGCCAGCTGCTGCCAGCTGACTGTATGGATTGCAGAGCACATTTCTCAGGTGGGATGCAGCCAGTGGAGACCATCCCTGTGCTGAGGATGACGAAGTCACAAAGGAAGCGTGGGCAGAGCGGGGCACTGCCTGGACCTGTTCTGCTCCAGCTCAGGGCTGCAGCTCTGAGCGCACAGCTTCAGGCTGACGATGGCTGTTGTGCAAGCCAGCACAGCAGCACTGACAGCCCCAGCACCTGGCCTACCTCTCCACATGCACATCCCTGCAGTGAAGCCTGCAGCACAGCCAAGCACCCGGAGCCAAGCTGGGCTGGCCCGGGAGTCACCCACAGCTCTGTGCACAGGGATGGATCGCTGCTGCCTCGGCTCTGCTCCATCCCTGGCACACATCCCAGGGGCTGAGCACTGACCTGGGCATGGCGTGTCCGCTCAGCTGCAGCTTTCTGAAGGTCTCCTCGTACTGTGGCAGCTCCACGTAGGTAATGAGCCACTGCACCACCTCGTCGACTGTCCAGTTGTACACTGTGGGCAAGAAACACAGGAGCAGCTTAGCATTATTACTGCTGAAACCATCCAGGCAGCATCAGTGTGTGCAGTAATCAGACCACGTGCACCTCCACCATCTGCCTTCAGCAAAGGGGGAACAGCTGTGGGGTTGGAACAGCAGCATCCCAGCACTGCCTGCTGTATGGAGCAAGCTCTGCAACTCAATGATCTCGGGAGTCTCTTTCAGTCCCTACAATTCTGCGCTGCTGTGATTCCTGGGGAAGGCAGTGAGTCCTTGGACACGAGAAACATCTCCCAGCTCACTGCAGAGCTCAATGCCTGCAGCAGAACCACGGCAGAACGGACAGGAGCAGGGCCAGCAGCTTGGCAGAAGGCTTCAAAGGAAGGTGTCATCTCCAGCAAACTTGGGAACTGACTCAGATGCATGTTAGCAAACTGCCCGAGCTTAAGGAAACTCCCTGTAGTTATCATTCCAAGCCCACAAACTGCAGGAAACTCATTTCTGTGCCATGGGAAGGGCTGGGATGGAAGCCAGCACCCAGCAGGAGCCATGCCCCAGGGCCCGAGGCACTGCTGGGCAGACATGGCCTGCAGGAGCTCTGATTGACCCAAGGCAGAATGCCAGACAGAGCCTCTGCTCCCTGCTGGGAGCCACACGAGGCCTGGGATGAGTTAGCACAGATTCCAGAAGTGTCTTCTGACAGTCTCAAGTTGTGAGAATTGCTGTTGATGACGCTGCTCAGACCCCAGGCACCCCACACCCCAACCTGCCCAGCCCTTCTGCACTGCTCTTCTATGGGAAGCGATGGATGCCCAGCATCCCAACCACATTCA